CAAACTAGCAGAGATAGTAACAATAAAAGTTTGACCAAAATTTGAAAGATTGATAAAATAAAATGCCATTGAGGTCTTAATTTATTCACATCTATAAATATATGAAAAGATAATTTGGTACATTATTGGAACAGAATATCTGCAATATTCATAAAAATGTATTGTCATCAGACTCTTTCCACCTTAATTGCACTTTTCTACATCTCTCCATAATAAAACATCCACATTTGCCTAAGAAATAATGTTCAATGATGTTGATATCAGTTGTCTCAATCATAGCAACACGCGAGAAACAACTTGTGTGTCTATCAAGAAAAGTGTTTAAATTAATTATGACACATACATACTTTAGAATTCTACAATTAACAGAGTGAGGTGGATCTATTTGTGCTCTCTCGAAAAAAATCCTGCAATTCTTTTATTCAGGGACTAGGGCAAGAGGTAAAATGATATGTACACTCTTACACATGTATTTTTAAAACTCACAGTGTATTTTTCTAACACATGTATGTAAGAATAGGCCTGGAATAAGTCTTAAAATGGTACACACAAGATTGTTTAATGTAGTTACCTCTAGGGTGGGATAAAATTTGAAGAAACATAATAAGGAAAAAGAATTGTAATTTATCCCTATTGTTAGAATTTTTTGGTAACAAGCATGCTCTATTTCCTTTGCTCTATTTCCTTTGTAATTGAAATATTTAAATAAGAGAATAGAAGTAGTATCTGTGTATTTTTCAGATAAAGCATATGAGATGTAATGGGAAAAAATCTGATTGATAATGGCTTAACATAACAAAATTTTATTTTTTATGTTCCTAAAAGCTGATGGACATTGGCAGAGTGTCTCCATTGTCAAGTGACCCTGGGATCCAGGGTGCTGCCATCATAAGCTTCCACATCTCAACACAGGCTTTGCGTGTTTACTGCTCAATGAAATAAAAAGCATAGAAGTGGCACGCTAGTTTTCAAATACCTTAGTCTGGAGGTAAGAGGCATGCTTCTGCTCAGGTTTCAGTGTCACGTGACCCTCCGTAACCACTGGCAGGTAGCCTCCATATGAACCAAGGATAGAGAGCAAGACATGAAGTGACTGATCATCTGCAGACCTTCCCATTAACTGTTACATAATAGGTACTCAGAGAAATTATTATAATTTGTTATGACATTATCCCTCTGTATTTTCCAAGAAGATCAAATTTCCTTGCAATTCAACAATTGTTTTCTAGTACCCATATGTGACTAGTGTTTTCAAATACAGGATCACACCAGTCTTCTAAAGGACATTGAAAAATCTCAGCAGGGAAGTATCACCCTTTTTCACTCTAGCACCTTCCTGCTCTGACCTTTTCAATAACCTGTATAATCTCAATATATTGAGAATTCTCTGCTTCCTTTTGCTGCATGAAAAACCTGTAACTCTGTAACTCACAAGTCTCTGTTGTCCACCACCTGAAGAACACGGCTGAACACTTGCTCAGGTATCTTTAAGCACATTGAAAAACTAGGATTTTCCTCTGGTGCAGATATAGACAAAAGTCAGGAGTATGTTGAGAAATTTTTTTTCTTTTCTTATCAAAGCTGGCATGTCTGCCAGGGAGACAAACATTTTCTGCCTTGGTGGTGGACTGAATAATTGTTCCACAAAGATGCCTATACCCTTATCTCTAAAACTTGTCAATATGTTATGTTACATGGTCAAAGGCACTTTGCATATGTAATTAAAATTTTGGAATGGACCTTAAAACAGGGAGATTATTATCTGAGTGGGCCCAATCTGATGGCATGAGCCCTTATAAGCAGAGGACTTTCGTTGACTGGAGGCAGAAGAAAGATACAGCAGAATGAGGGTAGGAGAGTTTCCAGAGGAGACTGAGTCAACGTGCAGTTTCTGAAGCAGGATCCTATATGCAAAAAGTGGAGAGAGACCTTGAGGAGTGATGGGCAACTCCAGCTGACAGGCAGCAAGGAAATGAGGCCTTATCATCACAAAGCACTGAATTCCTCCTAGAACTGGATTCTGAGAGCAATCTGTGTATGTGTGGAATGAGTTTCTTCTAAGTATCTCTCAAGAACTCAGACTGACAGTTTGATTTGGGCTTTGTGTAACCCTGAACAAAGAAAACTGCACAGCCAACCCATATATATTACCTACAGAAATGTGAAATAATGCATGTGTGTTGTTATAAGTATCCTGATTTATAGTAATTTGTTTGTCAGCAGTAGAAAATTACTACACCCTCCTGGAAAGACACCCATGATTTTAGGAATCCAGCCGCTGCCAATGGTTGCTATATAGTGATTTCTTCGGGCTTTCCTCATCTACCACTTACGAGGGAGGTTCTGGTTCCTGGCCACTTAAGCTCACTTTTCAGTATATTATGAATTCAGTAGTCAGTCTCAATAATTTATCAGATTAAATTCCTTAAGAATCTCATCTGCTTTCTAAAATCTCTTCCCTAACTTCAGGATTATCTTACAAGAATCAGTAGATCCTGTGCCCAATCCTACTGCTCACAAGCTGACTTGGAAAAAACTTTGAGTGTGAAAGAAGCACCCAGAGCAGATGAGCAGTCTAAACTTTACTGTCAAAATAAACAGCCACCTGGATGGGACTGTTCTTATTTCATGGTGGTTCCACGGTCAGGAATAGGACAGACAACCTTCAGTGTTTGGAATGCTCTAAATTAGGGGAAAGGCAGGTGATTCTGGACTTTCTGTTTAATTGGGAACAGAGTACAGCCTGATGAAAGGAAGCTAGACAGCTGGTCAGGATCCAGATTTTGACATGAGGGCATACTAGGAAGACCCAGGGCAAGAGCGATGTAATTCAGAAGTGCTAGAACTGGTCCCAAGTGCTGGGACCTGGGTTGAGTACCTCTCAAGGAGCTCTGGGGATAGAAGCAGGAGGAGCCCAGGTTAATTAAGCCCACAGACTATCCTGAAATTGTTTTTAATTATCATTTTCTTTTTTATTTGTTATGCCTGGGCTTAATACATTGGCAACAGGGTCCTTCATCTCAATTTCCTGAAAGATATTGTGGAGTAGTGAGAATAGAAATTAATTAAGAGGAAAAAAAAACTTTTGCTTAATTCAAAAAGACATGGAACAGTGAGGGACTCTAAACGAATTCAGACCAGAAGTCCAGTCCCCACTTCTGACATTTATGAGGCAGATGATGTCCTGGCATGTATATAATGTATAAAAGCACTTGGCACAGTGTCTGGCATGTATTCTTTAATAATTTTCAGTTATTACTATTAGTTTTTTGACCCCTGACTCTACTAAAATCTGCTGTTATTTTTTTATCCAAGAGGTATCAGAGAATATGCAGCATTCTATGGGACAGTACAACACATCAGCCAACATCATGCATAGCAAGTAAAGCTAAATTATTTACTCTGCAAGTTTTTAGGATATGCTACTTATTGTGTGTTGAGGGAGTCTTCCCCAGTTAGGTGGAACTTAAAGGTCCTATGTGTCAAGAACCACCTCCCTCCAATTGTCCTTCCATCCAAACCACCTCTATTTTTCGTTTACTTCAATTACATTAAAAATATAGCCCTCAAAAAAAAAAAGAAAAAAATAGCCCCCCACTTGGGAGTTTGCCAAATTACACACAACTTAATAAAATGAGCTTTAATGTAGTGGGCTGTGTCTCTTCCATGCCAGAACAAAAACTGCTAGCATAGTGGCTTCTGAGCATATCCATGTTGTGTATCACTCCTATTTCTCAGAAACTCTCTGGCAATGGCATGCATAAAGCATAGTTTGTGTGTTATGCTCAACTGCACTGGAAAGGAACAGTGGGAAAGAATTCAGGATACCTTCCATTCCTGTCCCAAGTGGAGATTTCTCTCTGATTAATTCATGGTCTTAAAAAGTAATTGCTAGAAACAGTTTTTCACTCCAGGCTTTACCCTCTCAACTCTGGACACAGCTGCTTTTTTTTTTTTTCCCCCATTAGTGAATTGCCTTTATTGCGATCATGTAATACTTCTGAGGGTCTGGCTCCTGCCCACCACTCCCACAGCTCATCTGATCCACCACCCAGCTTCAGGTAAAACTGACTCACACCAAAGGACTTCCAGTTTTCTAAGACCCTACACCCATTGGCCTCAGGGCGATAACCCGTGGCTTCTCACGACTGGATCCTTCCATATCCTCTTCTTTTGACTTGTCCTTAGGCCTTAGGGTGTATTCCATCCTCTTTCCTACTTAACAGCTGTTACTACACTCTAAAATTTTATGGGCACAGTGGGTGGGTCTTGTTTATCCTGACACTCCCAGTACTAGCAGGAACCTCCCAAAGAGCAGATGCTGAAGGAATATAAGAAATAAATGAGACAATGTTCAAGAGGTCTAATTTATTATGCTGCAATTAATTCTACATTCTTGAATAAGTGAAACACATCTAAGCATATATATTTATCTCTTAATTTTACAGAACAGACCAAATAGTGACTGCTGAGTTCATTCACATTTCCAAGGGAATGCCTAATCCACTCCTACTTTATCTTATTCCAAAGTAACTAAATAAAATGGGAAATTTCCCAGTTTGTTCTATAAAATAGTAAAACTCTCTTAAAACTCATAAACATCAATAAATGTGTGATTTACATCATCTACAAACTCAGATTCTGAAGCTAGTTAAACCTTCTATTAAAAGGAGCAACACTGAGGAGCCTGGGTCAGTGAAATATCTGACTCGATTTTGGCTCAGGTTCACGGTTTTGAAGGCAAGCCCCACATTGGGCTCTGCCCTAGGCACAGACTTTTAAGATTCTCTCTCTCCCTCTGCCCTTCCCTGCTATGCTCACACACTCTCTCTCTAATAAAAGAAAAAAAAGATCAACATTTAAATAAATATTCAGATTACTACACAGAACAGGAAAACAAACATGTTATGTACTCTAGTCTCCAGCTCCACCCCTGACTTTCCACTAATGAGAACATTAGTTGTTCTCTTCAAACACATAGTAATAACCTTCCTCATCTTTTACTTGGGGCAGGAGAAGCTGCTGGCCATGGCCTTGCCACGTGCACTGGCCACAGCAGCAGTACAAGCCTTGGCTACAACTCTGGCTCGGGCTCGCTCTTCCTCATCTTTCAGAGCCTCTTCATACCAGACTGGGAAGGCAGTGGGGACTGTATCATGGATCTTGGCCACAAACTCTAGGACTTTCATCTTGCTGGTCTCAGCATAAGCTCTGGGGCCCCAGAGGAACTCATAGCGTGGAGGATCACTATTGGCCACCTGCCGGTACTCCAGGTACTCTTCTTTCACCCAATCATTGGTGATGAGCTTCCCGGGCTCCCCATAGATGAAGTTCTTAATTCCATCATATAAACCCATCATATTCAGCACTTCCCAGACTTGCTCCTCAGTGGCACAGTTGCCCTTTGTGAAGATCACGCCCAGGACAGTCATCAACAGGCCAGTCTTGGGCACACCTGAATTATAATTTACTTTATCATCACAGCTGGATTCTAATTTGTTGACAAGGACATAGGTATTCCTGTTGGGATCCACTTCCTTCACGTCAAGGCCGAAAACCAGCTCCAAGTGCTCAGAGGCTTTCCTGAGGATCTCGTGGAATTGATTCTTGTACATCTGGATTACATTTCTCAACATATCGGCCTTGGTAATGGGCTCTTTCATTTGATACTTGTACAGCAGGTAGTACACCAACATAGCAACCTTCTTGTCTACCGGGCCTTTGCGCCATTGCTCAGTGGTATCCTTGGCCTGTGAGGCATTTGGCTTTTCCTCCATTTGATTGCTGGCACCTTCATTAAATTTTGTATTTGGAGCAGCTGCAGCAGCAGTAGTGCTGGTAGAGACTTTCCCAGTAACTTGAGGATTTCCTGGTGTTTCAGTGGCAGGTGAGCTCTGGGGAGCATCTTCAACATGAGATGGGGAAGGGTGGGACTCTTCCTTCTCTGGTACAGTGGCCTGAGCAGCTACCAGATGCCCTGGCCCTTCTCGAGCCTGCCGGCGTTTTTCACGGGCACGAAGCTTACTCTTCTGGCCCCGAGGCATGATGATTCTGGTCAGGGACAGCAGGCACAAGTGTGGAAAAGAGGACAGATGATTCAGTGACCTGGAGGAAAGAGGATGAAATGGCATGATACCTCTGGCAGGGAGATACCATCTTGGGCTTTATCAATGGCCATCTCTCTAGGTTTCCTTGAGGACACTGCTCTAGGAACCCACAAGGCTTCCTTTCTTGGAGTAGCCTTTCCCTCTGAGGACTCTGGAACTAACTAGAGTTCACCTGAGTCCTGCTGGAGCTGATACAGGGTTTGGCAGGTCCAGGCTCTAGGGTGCCTCCCCTGTTTTGGAGTAGTAGGTGTTTCCATTTACATTCAGCACCATTACCTTGACTTCTTGCAGGACCTGAGGTCCTCTGCTTAACTGATTTGAGGCTGACTCAAAGCCCTCACCTCCCTGACATCCTGGAGGAGGAACTGAAGGGAAATCACTTCTCAGCACATCTGCTCAGGGGTGCCCTGAGATGACAGCAATGGCAAAGCTATGTGGGACCTTCTCCATCCTGGGATAATAAGGGTTCTCACTCCTCACTTAGAATCCTCACCTTGGCTTCTTGCAGAGCCTAGGACTCTTCTCTTGGCTGACCTTAGACCTATCCCCACAAAGCAAGAATCTCATATTTTTGAAAGGTTTGAGGAAGAGTTTAGGGAGGACTCAGTTTAATATCTCTTCCCCAGGGACCCCTTTGAGGGATGATGTCACATGGAGGGCTCTATGAAATAGCTCCTTATGTGATGAGTGGTCTGCTCAATGCTCAGTTTCCTTATCATGCCTCCTTCCCTTGACTGCCAGGTATTCTCCCTTCTGCAGACCTGAGGGCTTTAACAATCATACCAAGGCTCTCATCCACCTGATATCCTGGAATATGCAGTGGGGGTGGGGGTGGGGGTAAGGTGTGGGGGTGAGAGGAAACTCAGAATGCAATTTTCCCAGGGTTTTCCAGGGCTGACTACAGAGGAAGGTCCGAACTCTGTGTATCCTCCCCACCTCTGTCTCACTTTGACTTCCAGAATGGCCTGAGTCATCTCCTTCTGATAGGGCTCTTGTCTCCCTGGGACCACTGAGAATGAGAGACATCTTAGCCTCTTAGCCCTGCTGAGGATCCACCAGGGCTTATAGTAGGGGATGTACTCTTCGGGCCCCTTTTGTCCTGAGGACGAATTCCACTCAGTCCTTGTTTAATAAGGTTCTGAATTTCACTCGAAGCGACCCCTAGGGCGGCCTCTGCTAACCTGAATCATACAGCCTTAGACCAAGGCTCTTATGCACGCCTCCTCCCCCAAATAACCAAACGGTGAAGCGAGGAGGCACCTGAGCCTTACGGCCATACCAGGGGCTTCCAAGGGCTAACAGCAGGAGTGGGGCTCTTTACGGCCTCCACTGTTCTAGGGAGGCGGCTTCTCCTAAAAGATAAATAGGGGTGTTTGTTGGCTCCTGGCAGAGCCTAGGACTCCTTCCTCTGCTGGCCCGAGGCAGACGCCCGAGTCAGACATCCTCACCCTCCGGCGTTTCCCATGGCTGGCAGCAGGGGCCCGGCTCCACACGGGCACCTCTGTCATGGGGGACGAGGAGTTCTACTGAATACACACGAGGGCCCTCATCGACTCGTCCGATACCCCCACCCGGGGTCCAAAGCTATTATTTCTCCGAGTTCTCCGAAGGGGAAGTTGGACGGCGGCAGGGGCCCGGCTCCACACGGACACCTCTGTCATGGGGGACGAGGAGTTCTACTGAATACACACGAGGGCCCTCATCGACTCGTCCGATACCCCCACCCGGGGTCCAAAGCTATTATTTCTCCGAGTTCTCCGAAGGGGAAGTTGGATGGCGGCAGGGGCCCGGCTCCACACGGACACCTCTGTCATGGGGGACGAGGAGTTCTGAATACACACGAGGGCCCTCATCGACTCCTCCGATACCCCCACCCGGGGTCCAAAGCTATTTTTTTGAGTTCTTCGAAGAATTCGGAGAGTACTACATTGGGTCATCCCTGCCTGGAACCACCTAGGGAGGAATTCCCTCGAACTTTACTTGATATTCGTATTTTACCTGGGCAGCGCTTGGATCCCTCCCTCAGCTGCTCCACCGGCTCACCTCCCACAGACCCCAGAAACGGAAGTCACTGTTACGTACTTCCGGCTACGCATTGGGGGGCCGGCTGGGGTCCCAGGAGTATGACTCTTGTGGTTCCCCCTCTGTTATAATGTGAGTAGTATCCAAAGTCCTCTCGGGAAGTAGGTTCTTATTTTGGCTCCTGGTTCTTTGATTAAAAGCTCCTTGGGAAATATCACCTCCTCTCTCAAGCTCTGGACAGTTTCTCAGCTTAAACCCTTGCAGACGGTGGCTCCGCATCCCAGCCGTGGGGTGAGATCCAGAAGCCGCACAGCAAGGTGGGTGGGGGTCGGGGTGGGGTGCAGGACAGGTTCTGAGATGTCAGAGAAAATACTTAGTGTTGATGGGATCTCTTCACTAGTCAAACAGACTTTCAGGAACTTTCTGTTCGAAAAGATCTGCTTCCTACAGGAAAGAGGCAGATCTGCATAATTTTAGGAGACTCGGGTATTTTGACTTTATCCAACATTGAACATTTTGGTGAAATTAATTTTAATTTTGATTCTCATTTATAATACATATATACATGTTCTCATAATTACTGCTTTGTACGACAAGGGTCTTGAGTTTACTATAGTTATCTATATACACCAGTTTTCTGAAGTTACTTATTTACTTAAATAATCTGTAGCCTTTTCCTCTGGATTTTCTAAATGATGATCATATTTGCAATAAATAATTTATATTTCTTTTTACTATTCCTAACTTATTTATTTTTGTATTCTTATCCTCTGGCTATGCATTCTAATCTAGTTTTGAACAGTTACAGTTGGTAGCACACTGCTGTGCCTTGCTCTTTATAATAATGGGAATGCTACTAACATTTCATATTTCACATTTAAATTTGTTTGCTATAGATTTTAGGAAATGGAAGTTCCCTTCTAATATTAGCTAGCTAAATGATATGCATTCACGTTGAATTTTTTTCCAAAGTTTTTCTTTACTTCAATACATGATCAAATGCCTTTTAAATCTTATTAATATTTTAGGCAGTTTTTTCTAATATTATATCATTATATTTCTTGGATTCAGCCTCATTTTTCCACTGAATTCAGTGCTATATTTAAATATCTATGAATTTATTTAGAATCTTTGCCTATATGTGGGTGAGCTTGGCTTAAGCATTCTGTTTTTAAAGTGTCCTTAGCTGGTTTTCTTATTATGCAGATCTAGATTGGAAAATATGGTGAAAATTGCCCATCTTTTTGTATGCCTTGGATGTGTTTACATGACATGGTGGTTAACTTTTTGCTTGTTATTTGATAGAACTGGTTCCTGACTGCCTTGTCCTGAAACATTTGAATGTGCCTGAAGCTTTGAGGATAGTTTCAGTTTGTATTTCTCAATAACAGTTTTCTATTTCTGCTTGAACCTACTGAGTAATTAATATCTTCTCTGAATAATGGTCTATTATCACTTGGGGCTTAAAATTTAATGGCTACATATATTTGTTAATTCTATTTATTGTAGAAAATTTCAAACATATACAACAGTATAGAGAATAGTATAATAAAACCAATATACTTGACATCAGAATCAACAATCATCAACACACAGCCTACCTGTTACATTTATACCCATATCTACTCCCATCTCTGCCACTGAAATAATGAGAAAAAATTCCTAGATATCATGCCATTTCATCTTTGAATATTTAAGTATCTATTCCCTTTTTTTTAATTTTGTTTATTTATTTATAACAGACATACAGAGAGAGAGGCAGAGACATAGGCAGAGGGAGAAGCAGGCTCCTTGCGGGGAGCCTGAGGTGGGACTCGATTCCAGGACCCTGGGATCATAACCTGTGCCAAAGGCAGACTCTCAACCACTGAGCCATCCAGGCACCCCTTAAGTGTCTATTTCTAAAAGATAGGAATCCTTTATGAAACATAAATGGTCAATTACACATATCCTACTTTAAAATTAATATCATCAAGTGTCCAGTTATTTTTCACATTTACCTGACTTCTTAAAAATATATTTTTTTCTTGAACTAGGGTCAAATCCAGTCTATTCATTGTCATTGCTCTTATTCCCATTAATTTATAGATCCTACACCTCCCCACATACATTTATTACCTATTTTCCTTGTCATTTTTCTGTTGAAAGAAGAACTCGTGTTTTGTCCAGTTTCATATGGCATAGGTTTTACTGATTGCAACACTGGTGTCCTCCGTCTGTATTTCTTTAAGTCGGTAGAAGTTTCATCAGATTAAAGTATAATTTTTTACTCTCTCTTTTTTTGTTTGGAAAGACTACCCAAAGTTGATATTGTGAATTTTTATCACAAGGAACCAAATGTCAGTCTTCCTTTGTGTTCATGTTTGCAAACTTTGAAGATTAGCATATTTATCCATTATTTAAGGTTTACACAATGTTAATTTGGTATTTCTATCATTTTTTCTGAGTTTATTAGATGAATTTTTTTTCAAAGATTTATTTATTCATGAGAGACAGAGAGAGAGGTAGACACATAGGCAGAGGGAGAAGCAGGCTTCCTGTGGGGAGCCTGATGTAGGACTCGATCCCAGGACCCCGGGATCACAATCTGGTGATCCCTCCCAGGTGTCCAAGGTGAAATATATTTTTATGTTAAAACCTATCCTTGTTCACCATTTGGTGATGATATATATAGTATTCTCTTATAATTTTTAAATTCCTTCTGCCCCTATATTTTTCACAATATAATTTAACAAATACTACTTACTTCTGTTTTTTTTCTTAATTGATTATACTTATAAAACTGTCAGTTATATCAGTCTTTTCAAAGTATAGGCTTTTGTTAGTTGGTTCCTTTGTATTCTAATTCATCATTTCTGCATTTCATTATTTTCTATATTATATTTCTTTGGGTTCAATATGGTATTCTTTCTCTA